AAAAATGGGAGTGATAATGGAGAATGTTTAAGAACACTTTACTAAAAAGCCACAAAATTGAGAGACGTGGCCTTATTGGTTAAAAAAATGATCTAGTTTAGAGGGAAAGTGAAGGCAACTATAAAAATAATAAATACAAAATGTAACAAATGGAAGTTGGTAGTAATGAATATAAATCAGAAGCTAGGAACTGCAGAAAATTGATAGGGGAAGCAAAGGGACACAAGGAAAAATCTATGGCCAGCAGAGTTAAGGACAATAAGGAGTTTTTAAATATTTTAAGAGCAAAATGAATCCTAACACGGGTGTTGGTCTACTACAAGATGGAAATGGTAGAATTATCAATAATAATGCCCAAAAGGCAGAAGTGTTGAATAAATATCTATTCTGTATTTGCGAAAACAGATGTTGTATCATTCAGTAACTCTTTCCATTCCGTGAGCATCTCAGGAGAATATTAAATAGCAGCTGCTAATGTTATTTTTAAATCAGCGGGTCCAGATAACTGGCATCCAAGCATTTTAAAAGAGCTGGCTGAGGAGTTCAGTGGACTTTTAATGCTAATTTTCAGTAAGTTTTAAAACATTCAGGAAGTTCCAGAAGACTGGCAGAAAGCTAATGCTGTACCAATATTTTAAAAGGGTAAACGGGATGATCTGGGTAATAAAAGACCTGTCTGTCTGACACTGATCCTGGCCAAGATAATGGAGCCGTTGATATGGGACTCTGTTGATAATCAATTAAAGGAGGGTGATCTAATTAATGCCAATCAACATGAGTTTATGGAAAACAGATCCTGTCAAACTAACTTGATATCTTTCCGTATTGAGATTACAAGTTTGGTTGATAAAGGTACCAGTGTTAAGGAATATAGAATTCTGCAAGGCATCTGACTTGGTACTACCCAACATTTTCATTACAAAACTAGAATATAAAATGAAGATGGCACACATGAAATGGATTAAAAACTGGCTAATTAATAGGTCTCAAAATGTAATTGTAACAGAGAATCATCATTGAATGAGTGTATTTCTAATGGGGTCCCACAGGAATCGCTTCTTGGCCCTACTCTCTTAAACATGATCAATGACCTGGAAGGAAACAAAATCATCACTGATAAAGATTGCAGATGACAAAAAGCGGGGCCGTGGTGATTAATGAAGAGGACAGGACACTGATACAGAACAATCTGGATCGCTTGGGAAGCTGGGCACAAGCAAACAATGTGTTTTAATACAGCTAAATGCAGATGTACTCATCTACAACCATAGAATGCAGGCCAGTTTTACATGATGGGGGACTCGATCCTGGGAAGCAGTGACTCTGAAAAAGACTTGGGGTCATGGTGAATAATCAGCAAGTTCCCAGTGCGATGCTAAAAGGGCTAATCCAATCCTTGGATATACAAACTTGAATCTTGGGTAGTAGAGAGGTTATTTTACCTCTGTATTTGGCACTGGTGCAACCAGGGTTGGAATCCTGGGTCCGGTTCTGGCGTCCACAATTCAAGAAGGATGTTGATAAATTGGGGAGGGCTCAGAGAAGAGCCATGAGAATGACTAAAGGATTAGAAAACCTGCCTGATAGTGAGAGACTCAAGGAGCTCAATCAGTTTAGCTTTACAAAGAGAAGGTTAAGGGGTGATGCTCACAGTCTATAAGTACCTACACAGGGAACAAATATTTGACAATTGGCTCTTCAACCTAGCAGAGGAAGGTCTAACACGCTCCAATGGCTGGATGTTGAAGCTAGACAGACTGGAAATAAGGCATAAATTTTTAAAGGCAAGAGTAATTAACCATTGCAACAATACAAAGGGTTGAGGTAGATTCTCCATCACCAGCGATTTTTAAATCAAGATGGGATTTTTTTTCTAAAGTTCGGCTCTAGGGATTATTGTGGGGCAGGTGTCTGGCCTGTGTTATACAGGAGACCAGCCTCGATGCTCACAATGGATCCTTCTGGCCTTGGAATCTCTGAATCTTCCCTTTCCTTCCCCAATTCATCTGATCACAGCAGAACCCCCCCGACACACACAGCCCTGAAACAGATCACTGCCTCTTTGTCGACATTACCAGAGCTGCCATTTGGTTCAAAAGCAAAGATCAGAAAAAGGTGCTTATGTTTCTTTTCAATTTTATGAAAACATTTCCCCACGTAGTTCCTCTTTCCCAAGAGTAAGACAGTGGAGCAACCCCCTCTAACACCACAGCCTGAAGACAACTGCTTATTTAAACACCACTTTGATCTGGAGTCACAGCTATAGCCACTGGCCATGGAACGGACAATGCTTCCTCCGGGAGCCCGGCTTGGCGCTACTGTTTATTCAGCAGTTTCCTCTGGCCCCCCTTTTTGCAAATGGAAGAAAACAGGGGAAGGGGTTTTTTTGTTTTTAACTTTAGAAGCATCAGATAAACCAAGTCTCATTCATCTTCCTTGGATGGTGAACGGTCAGCAGAGTTGAGGCTTTTCCAGTTCTTATATGAAAGGAGAGGTGCAACGGCTCTCTTCTCTCAATTGGTTGTACTGCATTTGAGTTAAATGTGTCCCCAACCCCAAGACATAAGAAAAGATCATTTCCCCTTGCAGTAGATCAGGACTCACTTGGTAGTGGGGACATCATCTAGCTGCCTAAAGACACAAACACAGAGTTTCTAACGGTCTTTCCCCCCCTGCCCCCGTTTTATATAAAACTTCCCTGTATCCCCTGTAAGGCAAAGAAAACCCATTTTCTTCCCTTTGCAGATCACCTTTAAAATCCAGACCTGCCCAGCATCCGTTTCTGTTCGGGACACGGGACTGGGAGGCACAACTTCCTATTCAGACTTCCTGCTTGAGCCTGCTATAGCTAACACCCATGTGGTTGTCATTGTGTCCCCCCCCCCCCCCCCCCCCCCGAGAGCAAGGATCAGTGTTTAAGACACGGCCAATGCATCCATCACTGGGCTCAGGAGGCGCAGCCGTGATAACCAGGAAATCCCGACAAGTTCCTGCCGCCGCTCGCTTTCCCTTCCCCTTCCCAACGGCCCGGCGTTGATTGCAACAGGCCTGCAGGGAATTAGCCTCGCTGCATCCATGTCTGGATTTGCAAAAGCGGCCCCCCCCCCAACAGACTTCCTCCAGCGGCACCACCGGAAGTAGGTTGCCCATTCCACAGAGCCCCTGAAAGGCGTGTAAGCACCAGGGTAACTTTAAGCAGGTGACGTCGGAGGGACCACGCATGCTGAAGTGCTTTGCGGAATTAAGACCTCTGGGCGTAATGCCACCAGCTCTGCTGGATGGGGTTAGCCACAGTTGGCCTGGTGAGGGCGCCCGGTGCCAGCAGGCCCGTGACTCCGGAAGTGCTGCTCTTCCCTCCATCGAGCCTCCCCTGCTCTCAGCATTTCCTCGTTCTTAAAGTAATTGCAAACCCCGACCTTGATTATCATTAAGTAAATGATGAGTAATACTCAGGGCTGATGTTGGGGGCCCCGGCGAAGCTAAATCACATGCTTCAGCCAGAGCCCTGATGCATTTGGGGGGGGGGAAGGGGGCACTGAAGCCCAAGCCCTGCTGTGTGGGGAGAGAGCAGAGGGACTGAAGCATGCAACTTAGCTACGGAGGGCCCCCAGGCAATTGCCCTGTGTGCCACTCCCCAATGCCGGCCCTGCACTTGCGACCCCACTAAACCTGGCCCACGGTCCTCCCCCGGTTAAGAAACCCTGCTTTACAGGGAGTGGGGAATTAGGGAAACAGGCCAGTGGATAGGATGGAGTGGGCAGACACGACATCCTGCTGCTGGTGTGTCGAGTCACAGCCGCCCCGTTTGGAAATCCCCCCAGACTGTAACAATGTTCAGGTAGCGCTGAGCGTTCTGCTTAAAGCTGCAAGGCCCAGGCCCAGGCTCACAGACACAGGGCTTGGTCGTGGGGATCAGTCACATGAACTTCCAACATTGACAGCACAAGCCTCAACCACCCGAGCCAACAGAGTAACGGGCCCAGCTACCCCTCAGCACCTGTTACACACAACACATCTAGCCCAGTGTCCTGTCTGCTCACAGTGGCCAGTGCCAGGTGCCCCAGAGGGAATGAACAGAACAGGGAATCATCAAGTGATCCATCCCGTCGCCCATTCCCCCGTTCTGGCAAATAGAGGCTAAGGACACCATCCCTGTCCATCCTGGTTAATAGCCATTGATAGACCTATCCTCCATTAATTTATCTAGGTCTTTTTTGAACCGTTGTAGTCTTGTCCTTCACAACATCCTCTGGCAAGGAGTTCCTCAGGTCGACTGTGCGTTGTGTGAAGAAATACTTCCTTTTGTTTGTTTTAAACCTGCTGCCTATTAATTTAATTTGGTGACCCCTAGTTCCTGTGTTATGAGAAGGAGTAAACAACACTTCCTTATTTACTTTCTCCACCCTAGTCATGATTTTATAGACCTCTGTCATATCCCCCCCTTAGTCATCACTTTTCCAAGCTGAAAGGTGCCAGTCTTATTAAATCACTCCTCATAGGGAAGCCGTTCCATACCCCTAATCCCTTTTCTGAATCTTTTCCAATTCCAATACATCTTTTTTGAGATGGGGCGACATCTGCACGCAGTATTCAAGATGTGGGCGTACCATGGATTTATATAGAGGTAATATGGTATTTTCTGTCTTATCCTTATGATTCAGACTTCCTAATGATTCCCAACATTCTGTTCACATGTTTGACCGCCGCTGCACATGGAGTGGCTGTTTTCAGAGAACTCTCCACAATGACTCCAAGATCGCTTCCTTGAGTGGTATCAGCTAATTTAGACCCCATCATTTTATACGTATAGTTGGGATGATGTTTTCCAATGTACGTTACTTTGCATTTATCAGCACTGAATTACATGTGTGTCTTTTGCATAACGAGGACTTGTGAAAGAACAAGTGGAGTTGGGGCATCCTACTGGGATCTTGATGTCTGTAGGAGTTGCCCATGGATAAGGAGCTGGCCCGGCCATTAGAAAGATCTATGCACTACACTGCACAACTCCAAAAGGTTTATTTTTAATAATGCATTATCTTAAAAATGTACAGCACGTCATCAGAAAGTGTTTTCAAAAGTCAGAAAGAAGCCAGAGCAGGGTGGCGGGGGGGGGGGAATTGAGAACTCAACCAGTGATACAAAAGTAGTTTGACCTGTATGCCCACCCTTACCACTCCTGCACAGTCACGTGGGCATTAATCCCTCATGGCAATGGAATCCACATTGACCCAGAAGACTGGGCTGTTCCACAGGGCAGCTGGAGTTGGAACATTTTTGTTCCTGTGCCACAGTCCATCCATCGCTAGAGACGTAGCAAGGCGTGCGCTCTGGCTCCAGATAATGGAAAAACCCCTTTTAGATGGGGCAACAGAAAGTAGGCACTGAAGGCAACGGTTGTACCCAAGAACAGGAGGACACAACACAACCAGGCCCAACCCTGCCATTGTGTAGCAATATTCGTATAGGTACCTGCAGACTTCAGTAAGGCTCCAGTTTGAGCCACTTCTGATCCTGGGTGAAGTTTGCAAGGGAGTTTAGTGCTGGTTGAAGGCATCAGCCCGACAGCCACGGAGACTGGATTTCTCAGTTTAATCCCAAAGCAGGTCCCATACAGACAGCAACAATGCCGTGTGCTTGGACTATGCCCCAAGGGGAAGTCATGCTGCGTGGATCCTTCTTTTGGGCTTGCCAACACCGAAGCCAACTGGCGTGATGGGGTTTGCCAGGCCAGTGGAAACTGGCCTGAGAACCTCACTCATTTCACATAGGCCAGTGGGCAGCCCTCTTGTGTAATTAATTTCCATCCCTACCAGCCCAGGCGAGATCTGAAAGGACTCCAGAATCCCCATTGCCAATCTACTGAAAAAGTCCGAAGGGACGATATAAAAAGCTGCAGTAGGGAGGGGAGATTAAAAACCTGGTGACACTCTGAAGCTGGGTGTTTGTGGCCTGTGTTGTACATGGACAGAGCAGAGAATCCCCGTCTACTTCACCAAGGCCAGATGTAGTAAAAAAAAAGCGAGTGTCGTCCTAAGCAACCTCACTGAGAGACAGCTGGTTCCACCTGGTGCGGAGGTTGCTGACCTTGGTGCCCAGAAGGAGGAAGCCACCAACCTCCCGGAAGATGGTTTAAAACCCAAAGAGGCTGGGCTCTGCTTTGGGGAAGCTAAAGCCTGGATCCCGGCCTCCTGCTGCAAGAGGAGATGGCTCCGGCTTGGCATAGAGGAGAGGGAAGCTGGGAGCATGTCTGTTCCAAATGGAGCTGGGCCTGCGGTTTACCAGCTCCTGTTAAAATTCCTGGTATCTGCTTCTAGAGAGAGCTTGATCCTGCAGGCCCCTCCGGCAGCCCAAGGACAAGGTGGTGGGTAATGCCTCCTAAAAGCTGCTCCCTCACCTTTACGCTGAAGGTTCCCCAGCCTTCTGTACGGCCCCAGCAAGTCCATCTGACAGCTCACAGGGCACTTGCTCTTCCCACTCCCCCAGACTAGGCTGAGGATGGAAATCCCTTCCTGTGTTTCCCAGACCAGTGTCTAACCATGGCTCAGAGGTTCAGAAGTGACAGCAACTCCTGCAACCCAAGATGCTTTTAATCTCTAAATACCTGGAGGCCTAAGTTCTATGGGGACCGTGCCACTGCTGAGACAAGCCCATAAGGGTTAAATCCCAAACCATGGGACCATTCAAAAACACTGGTTGACAACATGGGCAGAGTCTCCTGCTCCCAGCTGGTTCCCACAGGTCTCCTGGGGGCTCTGGTTTGTTTGCCAACAATTCTCATCAGCTCAAAGCATTCGTTATCAGAAGCCAAATTTGCCTACAGACCCACAAACCATCTCACACAGCAAGAGGCAAATTGTGGGGCAGAAGTCAGGACATCAAGCCAGGCCCCTCCCTGCCCGGGGAAGATGATGACCAGCAGCCCCAATGCTTCTCTCAACCCATGGCAGCATTCTCATGAGACACTCGGGAATGCCCAGGGAGCAGACAGATCACATTCCAAATAGCCAGGGCCTGATCTTACAAGCTGCTGAGTACCTTCTTCCAAGGGGAGCACAGCACCTTGCAGGCTAGGGCCCATAAGGAGCGCACCAGACGTGACTGGACCGTTCTCCTCTCCAAGGAGGGTTTGCCGTGCGAGCTGGAACACACCTCTCCATACCATGCCAGGGAATGGGAACATTTTAGTTCCCTTTGGGTTTGTTTTTTGTTTAAGCCAAAAGGTGGGTCACTTTGCCTAGTGATTTGTAAACAGCAGATGCCGGAGGTTTCAGAGGGGCAGGCTGCAGTGCTGAATAAGCGCAAGAGCCAGAAACAAAAAGCCAAGGTGAATGGACATTCTGCAGGAGCAGCCATTTCCCCGGTGGTCACTTGGCCTCTTGCTGATCTGATCTCCCTGGCTTGAGAACTTCCACCAACAAGAAAAGCAGGCCGGGCTCCTCTCAATCTGCAGAGAGTTACCCCATCTAGTGGTCGGTGCACGCAGAGGAAGGGCGTTCGTCGTGTGTCCAGCAAGTTGGAAGGATTTTGAGTCGCAGCCTCATTACGCTTCGGCTTTTCTAAAATCCCTGCTGAACGGAAATAGGAAACACACCCAATCCAGATCCTTCCCCAAGCCCCACCCTTCCCCACAGCACTTCCTGGCCCGCTGCGGATGGGAAGGAGAGCAGGGAACCTGCTTTCAAAAATGGCCTCTGTTAGCCGGTTCGAAGCACACACCTGGACTTGGCCGTCGATGGAGTAGCAGTCGCAAGATAAGCCCGCAGGGCTGCAAGTCCCAGAAAGCCGCCTGCCCAAACAAGAGATGCTATAAAGGAAAAATAAAAAAGGTACCCGAGAAGCTTATAGAGCAAGATTTCCCTGCATCGCGGCGACTCCATTCACAGTGCCGAGTTCGACTCTCGCCCGGATCCTTTCCCACCCCCTCTCCCACTCCAAAAGCCAGGGACACAGTCTGTTTGCCTGAAGGTTCAGTACTTCACTCCAGGAACAAACTCCTTGGCGTCGGGGTTCAAGTTGCTTTTGCTCTGAAATGGAGAAAAGGGAGATGGATCATTCCTCTCACCGTGCATTTCTCTCCACTTCACCCCCGTCTCCTCCTCTCTACCCAGAGATCTGGCTACTCAAGATGCCAAGTAATGGGAACTGATGCAGAGTATCCCCTCACCCACCGTCTGTGCTGCGGGATAACACCCACGGGCCTGCTGCAAGGCCGCACGGTCAGCAGTGTTTTCCAGATCAGATCACCTCAGATGCCTGGGGTTACACCCCAGTGATGGACATGACTCACTGGTAGGACAACCAGCCACCCAGCCTCCTGCAGACCCAGGAGGAAACCCTGCAGAATGTAACCCCTCGGATATACTGAGCTGGGATGGTTACTCCTGGCCTGTGGGATCATCATGGAAGGAAATGAGATTCATCAACACTGAGGGGGGTCTATCCTCACCGTGCAGTGCATACGAATCCCACTAATGCTAGTGGGGATGACACAAGGGCGGAGGAAACCTCACCAGCGAGAGGAGCTCTGCCCTCATTGGTGCGCCCCACCCTGAGACAGGGCCCTGCTGAGGGGGGAGGAATCCCGAGGGACCAATGCCCTATGTCAGGATATGGATCTCTCTGTTCACATGAGAAGGACCAGGGAAGTGGGAGGGTGAAGGAATAAGCCGTCTAACACCATACACAGCCTTCTCCCAGATCTTTACCAAAATATCCTCTGAACTGCAACTGTCGCCCACCGAGAGGCCATTCAGCTGCTGCTGCAGCTGCCCGATGCCCTGGGGCAGGTCGCGTGATGGAATGAACCAGTCCTGGTCCTCTTCATCCAGCATCTCCTGGAAACAGCGGTCAAGGAAGTCCTGCTCCTGCAGCTCCTCCTCCACCTGGCCGGGAAGGGGAAAGAACCATCAGGGCCGAGGGTCGCAAGCCACCTGCCTGAGTGCACACAGCATGCTCTGCACAGTACATGCTTCCGGCGGTCAGACTAGATGATCACAATGGTCCCTTCTGGCCTTGCAATCTATGAATGAAAGTACAGCTCCCCTTGCCCTGGAGAAAAGCGGTGGGATGGACACTTTAGGAACATAGCTGTGGGAAAGCCATGCCACGCTGAGACATGCTTTTACCATGCCAGAGCCACGGTTTAATCCTGGGCTAAGATCTGGCCGTGCTGAATGCAGGTTCTTAGCACCTTTGAAAATTAAACTTGGGGGCTTGAGTAGCTGGCTTGAAACCCTGGTAGGTGACGGAGCCAGAAACAGAACCCAGGAGTCCTGACTCCGAGGTGGCTAGGCAAAGCCATGCGTGACCATGGCTCTCAGGGTGCACAGACGGTGTCAGAGGGACGGGGAACGGCACGCAGCAGTCAGTGCAGAAGGGAGCTCTACAACTTTGGGTCCATCTACACTACACACCTGAACATGCCAGCACATCACTCCCGGCCAGGACTACGGCGTACATATTCCAGCAGAGCTTGCTGGTAGTGAGTGTCGAATTGGGCATTCGAGCCAGTTAGAGGACCGTGACAGTGGAGGTTAGGGTGTAATGTGGATGGGGCTCAAAGCAGGAAGCCCAAACATGTGCAAGGCATTAGCCCTGGGAAGGCAATAGGATTCTACAGCCCTGCCTTCAATTGCTTGTTTGCTTCACGCTGCACCTGCCTGTTATTAACGCACACTACAGCATTACAACACTGGAGTGCCAGCACTGCAAGGTGGAGCGTTTTGGACAATTTCCGTAGGACGCTGGGCGGTGGTGTGCTCTACAGCAGTGGTTCTCAAACTTGTTCCGCCGCTTGTGCAGGAAAAGCCCCTGGCGGGCCGGGCCGGTTTGTTTACCTGCCGCGTCCACAGGTTCAGCCGATCGCAGCTCCCAGTGGCCGTGGTTCGCCGCTCCAGGCCAATGGGAGCTGGGGGAAGCGGCGCGGGCCGAGGGACATACTGGCCGCTGCTTCCCGCAGCCCCCATTGGCCTGGAGCGGTGAACCGCGGCCACTGCGATCGGCTGA